GTCCTTTTAGTCACAATCCAGTAAAGTCTACTGTTCTTAAAGGCTCAGTTCAAATCCACTTTTCCAAGTCACCTTCCAGACCTCTTCAGCCCTGAGTAAGTAACCTGAAGAGATTGCTTTGCTGTCTTACCACAGATGACCCGGTGTCCCCAAGAGCTTTGGCAGCCTTGAGCCCATGGAATAGTATAAGGGTTCTGTTGGAATGTGCCATGGGGCATTTTTCTCCAGCGCATGTCCAAAGCTTTTATCAGTTTCTCAAAGCTTAATAACAAATCAGCACTCCCCAGTTCTAGAAACAAAAGACACTAAGTGCTAATGTTCCCTGAGTAGAATTGCCAGATTTAGCAAATAAAAATATATGGGACATACTTATACTAAAACATGACTTGTGTATTTGAAATTCAAAGTTAACCAGATACCCTGGACTTGATCTGTAAACGTGTCCTGAATGTTTCATGGGTATTAACATTTACAGAAAGTAGGCATCTGGAGGACAAGAAACATGATTGTTTCTTCACAGAACTTAGCATTCAACTATCATTGCTAATTGCTAATTTAGTTTTGTGGTCCAACAGAAACATTTTGAAATAGTCTTGATTTGGGGCCAACACCAAATCTAGTAGCCATAATCATAATTATACACACACATACACACACACATTAATATGACTTTTGCTTCAAGGAAAACAGATGCCTATCATACCTAGTAAACCAATTTTGATCATCTCTGCTATTTGCTGGATTCAAACACATTGAACTCCTAAAATATCTTAGTTTTTAAAACTTCCTTTTAGAACGAATCTGGGAAAATTCAAAACATATCAAATTTATTATTGGACCTCAAAGTGAGAGCCTCAGACCATTTGATTGAAAAATCATCAAAAGTATTTGTTAAAAATGCAGATATCTGGATGTAATCTTAGACCTATTAATTCAGAACTGTGCAGAATGGCTCCAAGCAATCTGATTTTAAAAAGACTTCCAGGTGATTTTTATGCCTTCTAAAGTTTAAGAACTGCTTGTTTATGAGATGTAATATTCTAGCAAGGATTGTTCTCTATGTTAGAGAAGAAAAGTTACTATTTAAGTTTTTAAAGATAAGTTACCAACATTTTGGGGTTCAAAATATCAATCGCCTTTTAAATGTGTCTTGAACTTATCACACTTGTATCAAGTGCTCAGCACTACACGTGTTTCATTTGGAGCTCCCAAGCATTTAAAGAGAATTAGTAAACTAATGATAAGGTATTAAAAGGATGCTTGATGGGTCATTAAAATAGTAAACGAGTAAATGAAATTTACAGAGGCCAGAAGAAATTAAAAAATAGACTATTTATAGTAGCAGGTTCTAGTGCTGCTACCCAGGATTGGCCTGGGCAAACTAAGGCTCTTTGGAGTCTGAAAGAAAGCATCATTGTTCAAAGATCCCTATCTTGTTGACTGGGTGGTCCCTGTAATTTTTAAAAATCTCTTGGTGAACAGAGCCCAGGTATGTATATAAGAAGGGATTGGGTTCTATACTTTAGGGGCTATGTTTTGGGGACTTCAGTTTCTTCATCCATAAAACAATATCTTGTGGCTTCAAACTGTGGCTCGTGGGCCACATGCAGCCCAGGACAGCTAGCAATGTGGTCCTACAAAATCTTTTAACATTATGTGTTTTTTTTAATGTTTTTTAATGTTTATTTTTTATTATTTACTTTTTAACATTTATTTTTTTCGTGACCCCATGTGTAATTCCATTTTTGAAGCTCACAATCTTGCCTTATTCATGACATTGCTTTTTGGCAGCACATACATTTGTGAGCAGCTGTTTTCAATTATGAAGCACGGGAAGAGCAAAATCTGAACAAACATTTCTGATAAGCACCTTGAGAACGCAATAAGAGTTGCAACCACTTCCATCAAACCAGACATTGATAGTCTAGCTTTACAAAAACAAGGTCAAATTTCCCACTAGTTTTATATTGTTCTCATTTTTCTAAACTTTACAATAAAAAAGAAGCCTTATTATGTATTTACACTAACTACATTATGTAATTTGAGGTCCAAGACAATTCCCCTTTACTTGATGTGGCCCAGAGAAGCCAAAAGGTTGGACACCCCTGGCTTAGACCATTAACTACTCTCTAAAATATCTTCTAGACCTAAGTTTCCATTATCATTCTGAGCTTCAGTTTTCTCTGCTGAAACACATGGGGGGTTGTACTATGTGCAGTGTGCTCATTTCTTCTGTGTGACTGAGGGCAACCCTGTAGTCTCTATTACTATACTCGGATCTCCATTCATAATTTTAGGCTCACTCTCTCTAACAGTGTAAGATCGATGATGCTTTATTTAGGTGATCCCAAGGAAGAGACTGTATACTAGCTATTCACACATATCTTTTATAAGATAATTATTCATTCAAATATACTTATTGATTAACAGCTAAGCTCCATTCATCACCATGCCAAGCTCTAGGAATACAACAATGAAAAAAGTGAGGCTAAAAGAGCTCTGGCCTTAAGCAACCAACATTCGAATGGGTGGGGGGTGGGGAATGATGAGAAGATAAAAACAACAATCATACGCAAGCTGAGATATAAATAAAATAACTTCCATTTGTAATTGACGCTGTGAAGGATCATTAAAGGCTGAGATAGAGAATAACAGAACAGTGTTCATGAAAAGTCTCTTGGAGGAAGTGAAATTTACTTAGATCTAAAGGAAGCAAAGATCAATGGGAAGAGAGGGCCGTGTGGAGAAAAGGTCAGAGAGAGCATATTCTGGAATCTCATGGGAGAAATAGCTTATGTGCTTGGCAACCAAAGTCCTGAAACAGACTCTTCTATGACCAAGAGATAATTTAATCCAAAACTAGAGAAAGGAGACCAGAGGCCTAGAGGGTTTAGGGGATTTTCTCTGAGGTCAAATGGCTAGTTAATTAGTAGGTGAACTCTTCCACACTTTAGTCCAGAATGTGAACTTTTCTTAGTTAGAGATTATAATACAATAGGAAGTGCCAGATTGTCTTGGTCCAAATCTTGGCTCTTTTCCCATAAGCTGCTCATTCTTGGGCAGGAAAGCTTCTTTGGAACTCAGTTTCCTTTTGTGTGAAACATAGACATCCATCTCACCAGATTATTACAGGGATTCGATGAGATATTGTAGCCCAGTGCCTGACATATCATAGCAAGCTCTTTTATTCGTCACCTAGTGCACTTTCACCCAAACCAACCTGCTGGAAAGTCAAGATATAATAGGGCAGAGTTTAAGTTTCTGGGGTAAAGCAGAAGTGGCGGCAGAGGGAAAGTTCTGGAATACTGAGCTGGACCCTATTTAGCAGCTATCCACCTGAGAGATATTAGTGGAGGAAAAGAAGAGCCCATTAAAGTGGGAAAATGTCAAGGAATGAAATGCCCAACTTCATGGTTTTGCTCACAGCTTTATTTGCTAGTGGTGAATTGAGAGTTGTCTTCATAAAACAAAAAATATCACCTGTATCAGTACTTACACTTAAAAATAACAGGTGAGAAATAGGCTGTACTCTAGGATACCAGTAAATAGAATAATGACTCACTTTATTATTCAAAACATGCTAAGGGAAAAAGGTTATATTAACATGTCAATCAACTGGGAACAAACCAGTTATTTGTAGGATATTAAAATGATAGCTGGTATTAAGGATGTTTAAAAACCAAGTCCATGATATTGGAAGAATCAATAACTTATCCAAGTAACTCTGAAGATTTTCTTCATTGTTTGTGAACAAAACAGCAGATTGAACTTCAGTCTTAAAATATCAAGAGGCATATTTCACGAATTAAAGCGGACAACTATTAGGTTGTTTCACAGAACCTGCATGCCCTCCCTGTAGGCTTACCCTAAATGTTAGGGAATGTTTATGGTTCAGCCACACATGAACTGGGGCTAAATATTTCTTAGTTTCAGAAGTTCACTGGGTCCCTTTTCCCCCAACCATAAGGTAAATGCCATTCCACATATAGCTTTTTGAAATGCTGCTTACTTTATGATTCTCTGTCGATGCTGCCTTATGGGAGAAATTTTATTTCAAAGTTTCATAGGATGTGAACTGAACTCATTATTTTGCTCCAAACTCATTGTTTAATTGACAGGAAACATGCATCTAAATCATCTTGTATGCATGGCAGAAGCAGCTACATAAATTTAACAATGGGTGGATTATTACTATTTAGCATATTTATGGAATTTTAGATTCAGGAAGCATTTTACAAAACTTTTATTAGTTAATCCTTACACTTCGGAGTGAGTCTGACAGGTGGTAAACAATGCTTTGGGTTTTAAATTGCTACTACGTGAAAACTTTAACAGGGGGAAAAAAAACTTCAGCATTCCTTCTTGTTCCCACATGTGCCCAAGGCACATTTCTGTTCATTTTGTCTTTTCACCAGAGGGTAAGGCTAGAAGTTCAGGAAGCTGTGTTGCACACACCTGAAACATCAGTAATAAAAAAGAAATATACTGGGTTCTGTCCCAGGTCAGGTGGCCAACACCAGGAGAAAGTGTCTCACTAACAGCAAGATGATGTGACAGGGTTCTCAACACAGGTTTCTCCCAGTAATAAAAAGGCACATAAAGAAGCAATTTTCCTAAAACTAAAACTATACAGTACACTTAGTTTTAAATTCTAACAATGTCACACCAGCTGGACTATTTGAATGACATCACCAGTTACAGTAATTCTCTTACAATGCATGTATATTGAAAAATAAAACCCAGTTCAAACTAAGCATTTATATCTTTTTTTTGAAAATTCACAAGTTTAAAAAAACCAAGTTCCCTTGAATACCAATTGAAACTTTTCATGAGTCTTCCAATTTACCCCTCCTCCAACACCACTAGGTGCTGGAGAGCAGGGCAAAGAAAGACTCTATGAATCAAAGTCTAATTCTTGACCCAAACCTTTTTATAGCCTGGGGTTTTCAGAGCTAACAAACCAAGAGAAACAGCAACAAAAAAATTCAATCCTGCATCACCTGAGGGCCGGACATGAGGAGCTGCACATGCTGCGCCCACTTTCAGGAGACCCCAGTGTTGGTTGGCACGTCCAGCCCAGATTCTTATCTCTTCTGACTGACAGTGACTTTATCCTTCTAATCCCTCTGGTCACCCGCCTCCGTCTGCGGCGTGTGTGTGTGTGTGTGTGTGTGTGTGTGTGTGTGTGT